AGCTTTGATATCGAAACTGACTAAGATGGGAAGGGCATCTAGGGCAGCTGGGGAATGGCCTGCTCTACGGGCTTCAGAATCTAGCGTCAGAACGTGTTGTCCGAAATTACGGACCTTTACAAACCCCTGTTGCGTGGCTACCGTTCTCTCTTTGACCATATCCACGAAGCCCATGTTCACGACGTGGGCAATCAGTTTGGCGTCGCAGTTCTTTAGGGAGAGGGGGCGAGTGGCACCTGGAGCTCGAAATACGGCATATTGGTCCTGGGGCTCATCACCTTTTGGAAGAAACGCGAAAACGGAATCGTTGAACTGAAACGGGGCCAGTCCTGTTTCGAACATCTGCATCATGAGGTCATATAAGATCTGAGAGGAGCCTGGAGAGGTAGCCCATGCAGCATAAGGTATCTGGTCAGGGCCTGGGGCAGTGTGACGTACCTTACGTAGGGCTCTCTGAAAGTCCTGAAGAGCTGGAACCCGCAGGTCCGCGCAATCGAAGACGGGGAGGTGCTGGGCCAAGTACGACTGGACCGCGTTGGGGTCCACGGTCTTGCTCGAGAAGATGGGCTGCCAGAACTTCTGAAGACCTCCGGAAATGCCCTCGGGTGAGCTGGTGGTGGGGAGGGCATTGGTGGGTGTCCCCTCTTTTGGTATCCTAAGTCCTGCAAGCACGAGGCGACGACGAAATGGGTTCCAGGCCTGCGCCCGGCGCATGAGCTGCATCGCGGCCTTGCGGCTGCCGGCCTGGTCCATCTGCATCTCGGCGTGGGACTGCAGCTGGCGCTTCGTGGCGATGGCGACGCGTCTGTCATAGTCTGCGGTAACAGCTGCATCCATAAGCTTGACGTACCCGTCTCTGCTGATGAGCTCGGGCCCATTGTCGGTAAGGCGAAGGTGAGCGGCGCCAATGTCCGTCGTGGCCATGAGGAGTGCTGCCGTGTCTGATTCTTTTCGCCAAACCGTCCGAGCAATGGCACGTAGTGAAGTCAGCCTCCCATGCTTCGCCCAGCGGCTTTGATCATGTAGGGTGGCTCGCTGTTGAAGATTACGAGTGGGGCGAGCCGCTTCTTTGATGATGAGCTTGTGTTGCTTCCAGGCTCCGGTTGGCGTGAGAGCTGCCGAGGCGATGTTGTCCTTCAGGAAGTTGAAGTGGCGCTGGTACGTGGGGTCGTGGAAGATGAGCGGATCAATGGCCTGTTCCTCCTTCTGCGCCGCCGATGCGTTGACCAGCAGCAGGTGCAAGATCGCGTGGTCACTGAGGCCTTTATCTGATAAGGCAGCACCGTCTTTGTGGATCCTGAGGTGAGCGTCAACGTGCATGAGATCGATGCCCGACAGCGACGCGAAGATGCGGTCTATGGCAGTAGCCGCTTGTGTGTTGGCCGAGAAGTGCGTGGGCAGATCGTGCGTAACTTCCGTGAGCGAGGCGAACAATTGTCGCCAACGCGCTTGTTCGCGCTGATGCTGTCCATCAGGTGCCATCGGCCGCCGACGTGCTGATGGATCCTTGAAGTTAAAGGAGGGGACCGCGCTGGTGTTGAAATCGCCCATGGCAATGAATAGCCGCTGTTGAGGGTTCTGCGCTGCCCACTGTCGGGAAGCATGCCGCGCTTCCGTCGCTCTATCCATATCCGTAGCCTGCAGGTCGTGATTGTGCACATTCACGATGAGCGTTTCGAGGCCTGTGGTGTGGTTGGCCACGTGGAGGACAGCAACCCTCCCGCGTATCACTGGCCAAAATGAGGTGGAGGTCGTCGTCATCGATGGCGTCGGTACTAAGAAGGCGATGCCGCCCTTGCCGCGGTTGTGAGGGGAGCCGCTGAAGAAGACCTGCTAGTCGTAGGGAAGCTTGCCAATGTGTGATTCGAGATCGAGCTGTGTGCTGTGCACCCCTTGGAGAGCGATGAGAAACTGCTTGCGCATGAAGGGAACGAGCTGCCGTATCTTTCCCCAGCGCTTGGCATCATCATGACAGAGTAGCCCGCGAGCGTTCCAACAGATGTAGCTGCCTGCCGTATCAGCTGTAAAAGGGCGTGTACGTGTACGAGTCGCCCGAGACCGACGGTTGTTGAATGATGAGCTGGTGTCCGACGAGGATGAAGAAGCGCCATAAGAGGACGATGACGAAGAAGCCGCGGATGAGCTGAAAGTTGAAGCCGAGCCATTCTGAGTCATATCTATTTTGAGAATGTGATCTTGTTCGGGAAGCAGTAGAGCTTGCGCGGGATGAGGCAGATCACGTTGCGGAAGAAGCGAATCTGGTGGGCACTCCAGGCCCGAGAAATCTGAAATCACATCTGGATGGCTCTCCCGTCCCTTGGGGGCAACAGGGGCGTCCCAATCCCCGTGTGCCTGTCGTCGCGGTGCAGGTAGATCTGCTGGTGCTCTATGATGCTGAAGATCTGGTCTGGGTTCCCGTGGAGCACATTCAGGATGAAGAGGAGCGTGCGCAGCTTCAGAGCAAGGAAGCTGGAGGTCAGGTGCTGGCCGAAGGTGCTGAAGAGGATGAGGCCGATGTCCTCTCGGTGCATCAGGCCCAGGAGGTCTGGCATGGTCTCCGTCTGTGGTCGTAGTTCTCCATGGAGACCAGCGTTTGTTAAAGTCATTGTACTGTGTCCTCTGCTTTGTAGAGAGCGGCAAATTCTGCAGCGATGGTTGCTTTGTTGATAGGAACCTTGGCCAGCGCATCTTGATTCCAACGAATGACAGTTGCCGCGTCCATGCAAGTGAGCTCCAGTTTGGCGGTGGGGATGGTATTGCAGAAAATACGTCCTTGATCACGACGCGCGCGCCAATTGTGCGTGGGGTAGTGGGTCTGACAAAGAGCGAGTAGCTCTTTAGTTTGAGTTTCCATTCTGATGCGCTTGATGTTCTTATCGGGGTTGACGTAGAGCGGGACGTACTGGCCGTGATTGATGACGCAGTTGGTGGGGGTCTGAACTGTGAACTTTCCGTAACCTCCGCGTCCTGGAAGCTGAAGGGCACGAGCGAGCGCAACGGATTTGGAAATGGCGACAGATCGGCCGCCCAGAAGCTGAAGTATGAAGCGCCGATTGGGTCCTTCACCGTGAATCTGAAACTGCTGCGGGGCCACTTCTGCTGCATCCAACTATTCTGTGATGGACGTGCGAACTGCGGCAGCGTCGACGGGCTGCGCGGAGGAGAGAACGTAGATGGTGGGATCGGGCTCGCGATCCCAGTCTGAGAGCTTGGCCATGTCCAGGATGGGAGCGTCGGCTTCGCCCAGGCTGAGCTGCTGATTGATACGCTGGATGGCACTCCAGACTTCCGGATGTTGTGATTCTTGTTTGGCTTGAGCAATCTTGATGGCCATGAGGTCTTGTTCTTGCCCGTCCAATCTGCGAGTAGTAGCTGCTTCGTGTCGCTGTAGAGCGGCAATGAACTGCGTTTGCGAGGCGGATACGGTTTCTCCAACTGCGGTATTGATTGCTGCCACTTGTGATGCCATGATCTGCTTGAGCTCGCGCTGAATGTCTGGGTCCAACGTTGATTGAGGCCACGGTCCGCCTGCTGGCGTGGCGGTGCCTTCAGCTGCATGAGCTGGTGCTGCAGCTGGTGCCGTGTGTCCAGAGCTGGCTGCGGTGGTAGAGGGCGCTGTAGTGATAGGAGAGCGCTGCTGAGCTGCGAGAGCCGCGTGTTGAGCAAGCCATTGTTGTTGAGAGGTTTCTGCTGCGGCGGGAAGCTGTGCGGCTTCGTGGGCGTCGCGTGCGGCTTGAGCCTCTTGGTGTTCACGTGCTTGTCGTTCTCGCTGTGCGTGTTGATGAGCTTGCCAGTGAGCTTGTTCTTGAGAGGGGAAAGTAGGTGCTGCATCAAGTTCTTCCAGTGCTGCTCGCTGCCATGCGTCTTGAGTGGCTGCTGAATGAAATCCACGAGGGGCGCCATTTGCTTCACGTTCGAGAGGGCCTTTAGAGCGTCCACTGTGTCCTTTGTGCGGAGGGCGTGAACCTTCAGACGAATAGGTACGTTGGCGTCGATCCCTATCACGTCGGCGGTGTCGATCACGGTCGCGGTCTCTGTCCCTGTCGTGCCTTTCTGAATGTCTGCGGCGATCCCGACGGTGTCCACTGGCCTGACTTCTGCTCTTAGAGTCACTGCGAGATGAAGCGGAGGCGGAGTCCATTCGGAAGTGTTGTACTGCACTATGCCACGTATTGCCTGTCCGGTGCCAAGCGAGAGAAGAGCCAATCCAGATGCCTGCAATTGAATTAGTCGACTTAGTAATTGTGCGAAGGTGAGCTTCGTCTTGCGGATGTGGAGCGGAGCCGTGGGCTGGGCAGCCCTGACGGTCCTGTGAGATATGGAATGGAACAGAGCTGAACGGCCAGCTGCCTTGGGAAATGTTTTACTTGAGCCAAAATGGCTTGAGCCAAAATTGCTTGAGCCAAAATGGCTACGGTGGGGAGGAGGAGGAGGAGGAGGAGGAGGAGGAGGAGGAGGAGGAGGAGGAGGAGGAGGAGGAGGAGGAGGCGCGCGGCGGCGGAGCGGTGTCGGGCCGAAGGTCGATAGAATTCGACGTAAATCAATCCTCCGATAGCAGCTCGAGGGATTGCGACCTACCGTGCGTGCCCCATGCGGGGACGATTCGAGAACGGCCACCCACTCGGGTGGGAGCCCCGAGGAGGAGGAGGAGGAGGAGGAGGAGGAGGAGGAGGAGGAGGAGGAGGAGGAGGAGGAGGAGGAGAGGAGAGAGGAGGAGGGGGGGGACGCTAGGCAGGGGTCGTCTGCGCTGGCGGAAGAAGCTGGCGAAACGGGGGCACCGCTGCAGCGAACGGGCCGCCGTGCAAGAGGGAGCGAAGGAGGAAGAGCGGGCGGCTGCGGGGAGGGAGGAGGCTCCTCCTCCTCCTCCTCCTCCTCCTCCTCCTCCTCTCCTCCTCCTCCTCCTCCTCCCCCTCCTCCTCCCTCTCCTCCTCCTCCCCCTCCAAAAAAAAAACAGGGGAGGGAGAGGGCGGGAGCGGGGGGCGAGGCCCCGGGGCGCAGACGATGACCCCGAAGAGGCCCAAGGCGCTCCCGAAGATCTCCACGATGAGCATCTTCACGAAGAGCTCCGGCCTCGCTCGGGTGCGCGGGGCGCGCTCGGCACCCCGAGGGGCAGGGAGAGCGGGAGCCGCTCGGCGGCGACGACAGGGGCGAATGTAGCCCAGGGGCGGGCACGACACGCAGGCAGGCGCGTTCCACTACTCGCAAAGCCACTACTCGCAGATGGCCTGGACCAGCCGGTGATTTACATCGAGGCGAACGTGTTGTTCGGACGTTTGCGAGTAGGCGCTTTGCGAGTAGTGGAACGCGCCCGGTGAACACGTATTCGCCCAAGGGCCTTTTCGAAGACGTAGATCCTCGGCGCACCAGAATACGTGTATTGCTCTCCCCTGAGCTAATCGCCCCTGGCGTCGCCTCTGAGGGAGGCGGGGAGAGGGGTGGGGAGCCAGAGCGCCCGGCGAGTTCAGTGAGCGGCGACCAGGGTCAGGGTGATAGGCCGAGGGGGAAAGGGCGTATCGACCCCCGATCGCTCACTCCTCGGGGGGCCGATCGCCCACATCGCCCAGGAATTTGCGGATTCGCTATCGGGGCCCCATCGCCGATCTAGAGATGTATCGCCGATTCCAGCTCGATGCTCCCAGGGTGGGGAGCTGGAGCGTCCGGCGTGTTCAGTGAGCGAGCACAGTCGGGGCGCTGACCTAAGGAACCCTGAATAAGGAACGAGGCCCCTTTTCTCCAGAATGAATCTTCGACTTCCCATCGAACACGTGTGGAAGACCTCAAGCAAGCTGTGAAACAAGTAAGGAACACGGAGCCCCTGCCCAACGAAAAGAGAGCGCCCCGACTGTGAAGGGGGCGATAGGGGGGGATAAGGATAGGGGAGGAAACATCGACCTGGAATCGGCGATACATCGCCGATCGGCGACAGGCCCCCGATGGTGAATCCGCACGCTCCTGGGCAGGCTGGGGCCATCGGGCCCCTGTCGGCGATCAACGGGCGATGGGGGGGTCGATGCGATGGGGGGGTCGATGCGTCCCCCCCAATGCCCATCCCCTTCCCCTTCCTCTCGTGGCCTCTGGGACTGGGGGCGGGGGGTGGGGCAGAACACGGTCAGCAGCACCTGCTCAGCGTGTCGCGGCGGCGGCCCCGAGGCGACGCGCTGGCCCCTGCAGACGGGCAGCACGTCGCTCCGCTCTGCGGGGCGGGGGGCCGGGAAGGGCTCGGGGCGCAGGCGCTCGGAACCGGGGGCGCGATGGTGGGCCAGAGCTTTTTTTTTTTTTGCGGAGGGAGGAGCGCAGGGACAAGGAAAGGCGACACCAACGAGGAGAAAGGGAGGTCTCCCTGGTGGTGTGGCCCCCCCTCTCGCTCGATGCATCCCCAGCCTCCAGCTCGGGGAGGCATCGTGGACCTCCTCGCTGGAGGTGGCCCCCCTGGTGATGTTGGTGTCGTTTCCCCCCCCCTCCGAGAGCGGGGGACGACCACGGAACTCCACATGCCCCGTGCTGCAGGCGCCGGTCGGAGCGGACAAATCCGGCTCCCCTGGGCAAACACAGGCCAGCAAAAGGAGCCACCCGTGACAATTGTTGCTCGGGCGAGCGCGCGACGACGAGGACGAGGAGGAAAACGCTGGCCAGAACGAAGAGGAAGAAGAAGAAGACTCGGCCTTGCGCGTGGTCTGTGCCGATCCCTGACCGCGCGTGAACCCGTGCAATCAGAGCCCTACCTCGAACGATCATCGATCGAGTGCGATGAGGTCGTGAGTAGCGCGCGCCGTGCAGCCTGTCGTACGTGCTCGTACCCAGGCAGTCGCAAATCGTGAGACCCCTCGAGGGCTGGGGGGGACACCCCACTGGCCTCCCAGTGCCGAGCCCACGTCGCTGCGGGCGACGGGCAGGCCTCCGAGGCACCCGCCCCGCCCCGAGGAGGGACCCACACTCCAGCAAGCGACGGACGAAAGGGGAACGACGCGGGAGAGAGGCGACGAGGCGAGAGGGCGAGGCCAAAGCAGGAGAAGAGCAGAGGAAGCAGCGGAGGGGAGTGTGGGTCCCCGAATTCAGGAAGATGGCCACTCCGAGAAGACAGTGAGGACAGTGCCGACGGGGAGCAACGGTGCGAGGGTCACTAACGGCGCACCGCCGGGCAGTCCCCACTCGCACCGCGCCCCCCGCTCGGCGCGGCCTAGAGGAACGGGGCCTCGGGCATCGAGGTCACGTGGCAGTCAGGTACTCGGTGGTAGTCAGCGCGGGCGTGCACACAAAGCCGCGGATACACCACATAACATCATCAAAGAACGAGAGAGGGCGCGCAGAAGCCGAAGTCGGGCGGCGGCATCAGGTACGTGGGTGCGAGGAGGACGTATGGACCAGCCCGTCTGAGTGTGTAATGTCAAGTATCTGTAAAAAGTAAGTGTCCATCTGAGCCAACTGTGAGCAGTCAAGTAAGACGAGGGGTTCCGTCTCATAGACTTGAAGCACGAGTCGGCGGGAGTCCACCAACCTCAAATCCTCCGGTACACAACGCTCCTTCGGAAAGATAGTTCGTGAACTCAGAATATGGAGGTGCTGTCCACGTCCGTCATACAATGTCATTCTGCGAGAGTTCCCGTGCTCTGATGCGGGCAAAGAGGGCAGCCCGACGAGCCTCCCACGGGGCGGGGCCCGAATCTGGCTGACTTACTTCGCGCCCTTGCCCTTGCTCTTTTGCTTCGTCTTGTCGAGGATGCGCTGCGCCATGGTCTCCAAGTGCCCCTGAGGGGCGGTCCCGAGCTTGAGCTTCGCGTCCTCCAGCTGGGCTAGCTTGATGATCGACTGCTCCACCTCCAGCTTGCTCAGATGACGCTCGGGCGGACCCCCTTGAGCGTCCGCCAGCTGCACCGTGATGTCCCCGCCGATCGCGAACTGCAGTCGTGTGTACTCCTCGTTGTAGCACTTCTTCAAACGGAAGTGCCTGATCACTAATCCTAGCTCCGCGGCCGAGCTGATCGACACGAACTTCTCGTAAAAAAGGACCAGGGTTTGGTACGCCTGAGTCCCCAGCTTCTGCAGCTTCTCTGAATCGACCATCGACTTGAACACGCCGCGCGCTATGTGCAAATGTGGTGGCCCCAGGTGGGGCTTCGCTGCCGCGATGGCAGCCGCCTCCGCGTACATCTTGCCTGCTCCTCGCCCTGCGACCACCAGGAAGCTCAGCGACGGGGCGACCAGGCACACCCACTCCGACGCCGCCAGGTCCCTCAGCAGCTGCGCGTGCATGCACGCCATCTTGAGCAAAATCGATATGGCCTGCTGCATGTCTCGAGCCCGAAGGGCCCCCTCGACCTGCTGAAGACCGTCTTCTGCATCGTCTGCTGCGTCCCCGAGGTTGGCCTTTTTTTTCCCCGAGGGTGCTCCTCCGAGGTCCTCGCCGTCGCCTGCCTTGCGCTTGTGCTTCTTGATCACCAGCTCCAGGTCCATGGACTCCGCGTCTGGTTGCGACATGCCGCGGTCGAAGCCGAGGCCGAGGGAGAGTAGGAGCACCCAGGGCACAGTGTGTGCGTATGTGTACCTGCAGTTGTCGGAGATCTTGAGCCGTGAAGCTGCATACGGGGCATTCGAGTGAAAAAGGTTGAACAACTTCTGCCGCCGTGTAGCTACTGCGTCCAAGAGCGCAGCGATTGTGGGCATAAGACCTCATAACATGTCGCTGAGCATTCTCCCGAGTGCTGAGAACCTGGAGGCACCTGAAACACTGGTTCGTGACCGTGAGAAGTGCTGCCTCGTTTCGAACTTTGTGAACTCTGCCTGCATGTAATAAAAGAGCTTTCATGCTGGTGAAGGTGTCACCACACCGCTGCCCCTCTGAGTTCTTCAGATTGCAGACGAATTCGCCAGGGGCGTCCACCTCCTCCTCCACCTCCTCCACCATCACGATACTCGGGGCCAACGAGGGCCCACTAGGTGGTGCGATCGCTTTAGAAAAATAGGTGGCCCTGATAACTGTGAGGTCAATCGAGGCCCAGTCGTCGAACTCCTTAGTGTAAAATAGACCCAAGAGAGGAAAATCTTCTGGAACTAAATCAGCGAACTCCTCAGACTGGCTTCTGGCAAACTGGAGGTCCTCAAGTACCTGACGGGCCCAGGGGTTAGCCTTTTCGTGGATGGTCCAGTCGTCGTTCATGCTAGGTATGTCATTGATCGTGCCTAGTATGCATGCCCGAACCTGCCTGTGGGCGCTAGGGTATTTAATCCAGGACTGATACCAGCGTAGCCTCCGAAGTCGCAGTTCGTCTGCCAAGGGAAGGATCTGCCAGTAGGCCCATACCCTGTGAGAGCTCCACTTCCAGCGCACCCCGTCGTGGTCCTCAGTGCCCTTGACCCCGAGACCCCTACGCATCGCCCTCATCATGATCTTGTCACCCTCGACCGTGAAACTTTTATCTGGGACCCTCCCCTCCATCCCCGACAAGAGAGCACCTTGCACGTACGAAAGGATGGCCATGCGCTTGATGCCGCGGGCAGCCTCGTGGACAAGAAAGTTAGAGATGATGCCGAGGCCAGTCCGTCCAGCCTGGAATCTTTTTCCTTTCTCAATCTGCAACGATCCCTGCACCGTCAGCCAACCGCCGAGGATGCGCATAAATCTGCCAAACTGCCCAGAGAGATGCAGAGTGCCTGCATGCAGGAGGCGGCGTTGGGCGATGCAGCCTTTCCCAAAAAGCCTAGCAAGTGTGACTCGCTTGCCCTCGTTGAGCCCCACGCCGATGCCGTCCAGGGAGGATGCTAACTTACTGCTGCTAACCTGTGCCAGTGCGGTAAGGTGACGTGCCTCTCCTCCTCCTCCAAAGGGTTCAGGTCCTCTTCCTGGGATCACCGTCTTCGTGATATCGTCGGCGTACAGTGTGATGCCCGTGTCCGTGCGTGTGCCGTCCACCTCCTCCGCCTGTGAATACGTGTACGAGCTCGTCCCCGCCCTCCAGCTCAGAAAAGCCTCCAGGCCCTGAAGATAGAAATAAGGGAAGCCTCTGGCAGGATTAGGGTGTCCCATGAGCTCTCCAGAGGTAGGCCTGAGGGAGATGGGCCTGTCGGGTCCCATG